GTATCACCTCGTAGCAGATCTATACAGGTGGAGCTGGGGAAGGTGGAGGGTTTCTGAAGCAAGCTGCACTGCTACTGCAATCACTAATCGTATATTTGAATGTTGAGCAGCGAGCTAATTAGCTACCAATACAGGAGAGAACCAATCAGCTGTGCCATGTGATAATGATGTCATTAGGTCAGACTGAGTTAGACCTATAGGACTGCGCCATCTAGAGTTTCATACCAGAACTCTGTATATAGACAAACTAGTAATTCATTCTTCCAAATTGTCTATTTAATAAAAAATCAAGTAGCCTATATGTAGGTTAAAAAAAAGTAGAGAGATATTTTTCATATAGAAAACACATTATTTTTAATGATATATTTTATTTTAGAAAGAAAAGCTCATTAAATGTAATACTTTAATTTACAGACTAGGAGTTTAATGCCAGAACTCTGTATTTCATGCTAGAAAAAGGGAAATGACTTGTGTGAGAGGGAAATCATGGTGCCTCCCTCACAGTTTACTTCCTCTGATGACATTTATAGTTACTAATGTTACCAGGCATATTAATAGTGTCTGAAATGGAAGACCTAAATGCCTATGGAATGCCTTCCCTTCCCTTTTAGGAGTTCAGTTAAAATAGACATAGCTGGTTAAATAAACTGGACGTGGATTAGCAAACATTGTCTTGAATGTGAAAATGGCTGATCAGCTGGAAAGTGCAGTGAACAGGATAACTAATATACTCCTCCTTTTCCCCCTTCAGTTATGACCTCATCTTTGCTGGTGGACCTGAGGAGATTTTCAGAAAGTTCCAGCAGACCAATCATAAGCTGGTGTTCGCTGCTGAGGGAATCATCTGGCCAGATTCTCGACTGGCAGAGAAGTATCCTTCTGTCCGCAATGGGAAACGCTTTCTTAACTCTGGAGGTGTGTAAAAATTGAAAATACCAACTCTATAGCATGTTCTGTTTTGATGTGAAAGTTACTTCATACTTGTTACACATCAAGGTTTTGCAGGCCCAAAACCATTGTGTTATTGAGATTTCAACTCATTCAGTTCAGTTCAGTTGGATTTCCACAGCTCTCATATTGTATCAAAACATTTACATGCACAATTGTACACTGATCATGCTGAAAAACCCAAAAATGGTCATGCAAAGTCATGTAAATGCCTTAATTGATACTCTTCTAAAGGTCATAGACACCATACATGAAAGCTAGAAACATTAAGGCCTATGTTCACTTGAATAAAGTGTTTAAGGCATAAGTCTGTCATGAATGTGTCTACATGCGGTAGAAGGCTACAAACAATGCTGACGAGTATGAAAAATCAGCTGCATTTTTGTGATACAGTATTTTGAAATTGTCAGGTTTTTCACCAGTTTTGATATTTGCATATAACAGGTTGACAACTTCCATTTTACATGTAAACATCCTTACTGCCAATCTGGTAGCTTATTGTGCAGACATCTGGTTACACTTTGACTGTAAAACTAGTCCCTGTTATTAGACTTTTTTTACCATAGGCTTGTTTCAATTGTAAATGCATTTTGCATTTTGTAAATTAACTGAAAGTCTGAAACAAACCATTCATGTATATGAACAGAAATGTTTCTAGCTTTTATGCATCATTATATTGCCACATTGGAGCAACAGTTAAAGACAATTTTGCTGAGCAAGTTAGTTAAATGGCTAGCGTGTATATAACAGGCTGCCTGAATCTGGTTTAAAGGCACTGGTATGTTAAGAATGTGCACAATTAATTTGTGCATTTGTTTGGTTCTTCACAGCTTATAACACCTAATGGTGTATACTCTTTTAGCATTCCATGTTATGTATACACATTCACATGTTTCTTCATGCATTTGGGAGGTCAGTCTTTACGAATTCGGCTCAGGCAGCATATCACTGGGATAGGTCATGGCCAGTTGCCATATTAGCTGTATCATCATAGCACAATTTGCACCAGACACTTCTGTGTGGGTTTGTTTTGTCTGGTAGGAATTAGAACACTGCAAGCAGGGTGATTTAGGAGAGAGCAAAGGACAAACGGCGGAATTTCATTATCGGTACAAAATGATAGAGAAAATGTTTTCTGTGTAAACTGGCAAGCGGCGGTCACTCACCCTGTGGAATTTCCTGAGGGCCACCAGGCATAGTGCACTATTCATTCAGGGGTCTTCATGAATGGTGCTTTCATTTGAGAGTGTGTACGTGTGCATCCATTTACTCAGTCTCTCCATTGAAGAACACTAATGTCAGCCCCTCTTTACTCAAAAACCCTGTGGTCATTGCTCGTCTTAAACTCTGTAGTCCTGATCTCGTCTATTTTGATCTGGTCAATTACTGCTTTGACTGTGGTGGTCACTTTGTCTTGTGTAGTGTCCTGTTAGGGCGTTGAGTCTGTGTCATTAACAGGACAAGTTTGTTTGTGTTGGACTTCCTGTTCGATGGTCTGTACATACAAAATTGAGGGTTGGTTTTATCCCTTCGGCTGCTCCGTAGATTGCGGTGGCTACTGTTTTGTTTCGGTTGGACTAGAGATGTCATGTGGACCAGTGTGTTTGTGGAAATAAGAAAGACGGCACGGCCAGTCTCTTTCCAATCATCCCTTACTTTGCCCAAATTCAAGTTTGTTGAAAGTAGCGTTGTTTCAATCTGTGGGGAAAAAAAAAACAGAAAAACATTCTGGATTCTAGATTAAAACCATGTCATAATGCCTTACATCTGGCTTCAACTATTGCTTTCTAACCTGGGCATTATGTCAAGGGTTTTACTTTATTGCACTGTAATAAAACAAGATTCATGTCACCACATCTGAGGTGACCGCCTTCAGAAAAAGACGATCCGCTAATTTAGCGAATGAACTAACATTTAAATCATACTCGCCTGAAAAATTGCCTTGTTTATCTTCTTCTGGCGTTTGGCGAACTGAAAGATCTCAAGCGCTAGATTTCCAGTAAAATAATTTGAGATGTGATGGTGCTTCTGAACAGTACTGTCAAGAATTCCTACTAAAGTAATTGGAAACAGTGTTGAAGATGGTTTTTAGATCAGCCTATGAATGTAGGCTATAGAATAAGATTATTAGGAGTTAAAAATGTAATCGTCTAGGGCGGTAAACTAACATAGTTCCTGTTTCCTGCCAAATTATGGTATCTAAGGCTCCAAGCCCTACAATTTTCATCTGTGGTCAGAGCTTCAGGAAAATGATGAGAAATCCGTAAGCAGGTTGCTACAGAAACACAGAGAGCCAGCACATAACTGAGGTCCTATACTGATTACAGTCCTCCGTCTTGAGTAGATGTAGAAAGTCTATGCCATCTGAGGTTAGACGTGGCCAGACGTGGCCACACACAACACTTGTTGCTGGTTGGTCAGATGCTTCTGCCAGACATCCAACTGTTCTGAGGGTTTGAGGAACCACAGCAAAATTGGAAGTGAGATTTAAGCCTCTCAAAGGAGATGTAATTGAAATTGGAACTGTTGTGTCCAGGCATCCCATAACGCCAATGCTTCTCACATTCCATTACATCCTATACTTTCTTTTACAACACGCAGTCCGTAAAAACATTGCAATGTCTTTCACAGGCTTTATTGGCTATGCTCGATACATTCAGAAGATTGTGAAACAGTGGGACCTTCATGATAATGATGATGATCAGCTATTCTACACAAAGGTCTACGTGGATCCACTTCAGAGGGTGAGTGGAGAAAGTCTTTGCACTCTGTGAGAACATAAATGTGCTTGTAACTTGACCACATGCACTTATAAAATGCCTGCAAATGTATCATACCACTCAAAAGCAAACAAACTGGTTAAAAATACACAACTATAAACAGTCTACACGAGGACAAATGTCACACGGTCACTTTTACACAAACTCGAGTGTGTTCTGTTCTTTATTTTAGGAAAAACTTAATATGACCTTGGACCACAAGTGTGAGATTTTCCAGAATTTGAATGGAGCCGTGGGTGAGTCAATCCAAGATGGTGTATGAAACTTGCTAGTAAACAACCATTCATTATTTTTCATATATTGCATCATAGCTGATGAATAAAGGGATGCCAAAGTTATTTAGATTTTTCATCATAACAATTTTGGTCTTAGTTTTAGCTCTTCTTGGTAGGCAGGCATATAGGGATTTGAACAAATCCATAAGCATAACCCATCGCACACCTTTTGTACTGCAGACATGAGTGACACCTCAAATCATATGGCCTAGTTAAGGAGAAGTCTAGTCTAAGGGCTCAGGCTTACAATTTTTTGCTTGCTGGACAATAAAACACTCAACAGAATTATTCAACCGAAGTACTGAATGTCAAAATGTACAAATCTTATTTTGAATTTAGATGAAGTTATCCTGAAGTTTGGGACGGAGCGAGTGCGAGTGAGAAACACTGTCTACAACAGTCTGCCATCCATTATCCATGGAAATGTGAACACCAAGGTAAATGTCTTCTTGTTCTTTTCATCAATGAATAATGGAAGCAGTTTTAAAATTTAAACTTGACTCAAACTAACTTCCAATATCTGTGTGCTTAATGTTATGACTTGGGCAAGGACGAGCACAGATTTATAGGATTTATCTATTAGGACACCATATAACTGATACTGAGGTCCTGGAAGTCTTCTAAATGTAGGTTCAATGGGGTTTCAAGTAGTCGGTAGAAGTGTCATTTAAATGGTGGCACTCAGATTTTTAAATTGTATATCTGATCAATAATTGTCACTAATATTGTAGATAAAACAAGTGTTTGTCAGTGGCAAAACTCACACATTTGCTTGTCTAAAATTGTGTATCCATTCAATCGCATCTTCCGTGGCTTATTCAGTTTAATTTAAACCGAAAATTCTGTCATCTACCTTACCCCTTGTTCATCAAAACTCTTTCGCTAGAACACAATTCCAATAGAAAACAACATAATTACTATCAATATTACACCCCTGACTGTAATTGTACAGTTGGTGATTAAATACTAGACAGTCCTTTGGCCGAAAATGTTGCAGTCATTGCCCAGTTGTCGTTGCCTAGCTGTAGAGTTTGATATTTTAGCAGGATGTCTGGGTGATAATGTAATCTCAGACCTGTAGAGCTTTTCCTTCTGCACTTCAGTGATGGATTAAACAAACATAGCCCTGTGTGGAGTCAACTTCTCCTAATACTCAACCATCTGTGCTGTTTCTAATGAATAATCATCCATTCAGAGCTTAGCCTTATGCTCTATGATTCATTCAAGCTGCCCCGTGTCCATCCCGCAGGATCTCTCTGATCTCTAGGGTCTTTAACGTGCCCTGGAGAATACAGATGTTCTCGTAAATACTCAAACAAGATCCAATAAAAGTAACAAGACTTGAGGATACACAGTAATAGCTTATGACCAGAATGTGAAGCCAGTTGCTTGGTTTATGGCTTCTCTTCATTGGGAATCAGTGAGCAACTCCTATTTTCTGTCAGTAATGTTTAACCAACTGACCTCACAGCACTTGAGGGCACGACCTGCGTCTCCAAGGGGTTGTCAGTCTTATCAGCCAACTATAAATGTTAAATTTTCTAAAACTAACATGGCTGAACATGGGATGAATTAGAAAGACAGCATGTGGATACCATTTGTAATGTGGTTGTGATTGAATTGAAGATCTCCTCCTTTCTATTACATTCTAACTTCCTGTAATCGAAAGCAGTATGAGAGTGTGCACAGCTGTCCTTCCAAAATCTGTATCTAACAGCCAGTAAACAAAATAACAGGGAACACAGACTTGTCTTCCAGGAAACAAAAACTCAAAGCTGGTTTCCAAGTATAGGCAATGGACAGTTCTCAATTAATTAATTAATTAAATAAATAAATAAATAAACATATATAAAGGCAAGCCATTTTGTATAGAAGTATCCGCTAAATTATTAAATGTTGTCATTGTATCTTGCCAGATTATCCTATTTCTAATGTTCATGACAGTAGTCATCAAGCGTAGCGTTAGTTCTGGCAGGTCACGTTAGTCAAGCTCGCATCAGCTGACTCTCAGCTGATCCCCATCAACCTATGGGAATACGACACCTATCTAAGCATTCATATATAAGGTCCCGCAGTAGTATCAGCAGTTTTCGCATTGCTCAATAGCTAATTAAATGGCGAATTCGGCAGGCAAAACCATCTCTACATTATTGTCATGAACTCCACAAGTTATGTGACTGACTCACGAACAAGTCAGATGGGAACTTCATCCCCAAGAAGGATATCAAGAGATCAAGCATCCACTTCACAGCTGCTATGTTTCACTCTCTCGAACGTCTTCACAAGCTAAGTCCCATTCAATGCTCTCAGGTTATCTGCAACATGCGTGTTGCTAAGGCTATCTGTGTTGCTTGGGCTCATTAAGTTTTTTTTTCAGTTAAATGCTTGTGCTAGTTCATGCATGTGCGGTACTTATCTGTTGTCGCTGGTAGCGGCTGGTCCCACTTTTGCTCTCGCGGTACTTTGAATGCACACGTGATCGTAGGGCGGCTGTAGCACCGATCAAAGTTGGACAAAAGTATTTTAATGTAACCAGAATGCATTGTTTTTGACAGGCGGCAGACGATCTTTGCAGCGCCGCATCAAGTCAAACAAGCCTAATATCTGTAAAGAGTGTGTTTTTGGATGTGAGGAAAAGATAACCTTATTCAGTGTTGTGTGAACAGTGGATGCAATTTGTTTTTCCGGGAGAGAGAATCGCGAGCTGTATCTTTCTTTTATAAATCTGTTAAAACTGAAGACTCTTCGGAGATGTGAATGATGCAATACTACAATTATAGGTATTCAAGATAACATGAGATTGGCCAAAACTGTGTGTGTTATGTCCCCTTTAACCTAGGGAATAATTTCTGCTGCGGCGCAGCTCCAAGAAAAATTGGTAAACGCGGGTTTTGGCAACATATTTGATTGGTCATTGGTTTAGGGCAACATGCTTAAGGCTTGAGATTTGCTATCAGTTGTGTTGGGGGATATCAGCATATGGTTTTGTTTTGGGGGGTTATCGCTG